CTTTGGGGGCCGTCCTGGGGCCCTCTTGGGCGCCCTGGGAACCCGGAAATCATGCTCCCGGAGAAAATTCTGGGAACATGATTTCGAACGAGGCCCTCTTGGGCCTCCCTGAGGCCGTCTTGGGGGCCTCCTGGGCCGGCTTTGGGGCCTTTGGGGCCGTCTTGGGCTGTCTTGGGGCTGCTCGGGGGCCACTCTGAAGACGAAGCAAGCGAGCATGCTGAAATTGTACGTTTTACGCGAGGAATGGGTAAAGTTTTGCCTCTTGAAGGCCCTATTGGGGCCCTCTTCGGCCATTTTCAAGCCATTTCGGGCCCTCTTGAGGTGCTCTTGGACGTCTTGGGGCCCTCTGGGGCCTCGATGAGGCTGTCTTGTGTGCCTCTTGGGCTGTCACGCGGGCAGCGTCGCCGCCGTCGGCATGGCCGTCGTCGTCGCCGTCGATCGTCGATCGGCGCCGTCGGCTATTGTCATCGTCGTCGATCGTCGTCGTCGTCGGTCGTCGACCGTCGCCGATCGTCGTCGTCGTCGTCGTCGTCATCGTCGTCGTCGTCGTCGTCGTCGTCGTCAATCACCGTCGCCGGTCGTCGTCGCCGATCGTCGATCGCCCTCGAGCCTCCTCCTCTCTCCCCCCCTCCTCCCCTCCAACCCTCCTCCCTGCCTCCTCCTCCTTTTCCTCTTCCTCCTCCTCCTCCTCCTCCTCCTTCGCCCTCTCCGTCTCCTCCACGCGGAAGAAATCCAACAACATCTCACGCAAATCAACGGACTATGGCCCTCCGGGCCTTTTTGAAGGTCCTTTTAGGGCCCTTTTGGGGCCGTCCTGGGGCCCTCTTGGGCGTTCTAGAAACCTGGAAATCATGTTCCCGGAGAGGCTTCTGGGAACATGATGTCGAACGAGGCCCTCTTGGGCTTTCCTGAGGCCGTCTTGGGGGCCTCCTGGGCCGGCTTTGGGGCCTCTTGGGCCGTCTTTGGGGGGTTCCGTGAGCCTCACGGGACGACCCGTTGGGGCCGTCGTGGGCCCTCTTGGGTCTCTCTTGGGCTGTCTTGGGGCTCGGGGGCGTCTGGGGCACTGTGAGGACCAAGCAAACGAGTACGCTGAAAACGCATGTTTTACGAATGGGAATGGGCCGGTGTTTGCCTCTTGAAGACCCTCTTGGGGCCCTCTTCGGCCATCTTCAAGCCATCTCGGGCGCTGTTGGGGCGCTCTTGAGCGTCTTGGGGCCCTCTTGGGCCTCGCTGAGGCTGTCTTGTGGGTCTCTTGGGCTGTCTTTGGGGCCTCATGGGCCGTCTTGGGCGGGTTCGTGGACCCCACAGGACGCCCGGGGCGGCCATGCCAACCGGTGGCACCACCCCACCCCCGCCCCCGGGCCCCGTCCGTCTGTCCTACTGCTCCTCTCCAAACCCTCGTTCCCTAACCTCCCGATCATGTTCCCGGACCCCCGTCCTTCCCCCCAGAGCACCGCAGCAGTAGGAAAACGTTCCGAAGGTGAGAAATCATGTTCCCGGAAAGCGTTCAAGAATATGAATCGTACTTCGTCCAAGGCGCCTCGGAAGGCGCAGAATACCCCTCCAAGGCGCGGAATCATGTTCCCGGACCGCCTTCCGGGGACATGATGGGGACGACCTCCTGAGGGCCTCCAGTGGGCCTCTTGGGGGCCTCTCGGAGGCCTGTGGGGCTCTCCTGGAAACGTCTTGGGGCGCGCTCAGGGAATCTTTTGGGCATCTTGGGGGCCTCTCGGGGGCCTGTGGGGCTCTCCTGGAGGCGCTCAGGGCCATTTTTTGGCATCTCGGGGGCCTCTTGGGGGCCTCCAGGGAGGCTCTTGGGGGCCTGTTTGGGGCCTCTTGGGGCCTCGCGGGGCCCTCTTGGGGCCCGCTGGGCTCGCTTAGGCAGTCTTGAAGCCCTGTCGGGGCTCTCCTGGAACCGTCTTGGGCGGCTCCTGGGCCATCTGGGGGCTCTCCTGGGCCGTCTTGGGACGATTTTGGGGGTCTCTTGGGCCGTCTTGGGGCGGTCTTGGGGGCCTGTTCGGCCGTCTTGGAACGGTTTTGGGAGACTCTTGGACGTTCTTGGAGCGTCGGAACCCTGAAAAAGCGAGAAGGCCCAAAGCTTTGAAAAAAAATAAAAATCAACGATTTTGGCTTGTCGCGGCTCTCTTGGGAGGCCTCTTGGGATGCCTTCGGGGCCTCATGGAGCTCTCTTGGAACGTCTTCGGGGCTTCCTGGCCATTCCTGAGGCTATCTATACGCGTCTTGGAGCGCTCGCGGGCCGTTTTCGGCGGCTTCGATCTGTTCCTGGCGGTCCCAGGGGCCCTCCGGGACGCTTCGGACGCTCCCGGGGGCGCCCTGCACCCCCCATGGAGATTACAGGCACCGCCCCGGGCCGCCCCCGGGCCCGACTCCGATATACGTGTGTATGTATGTATGTATGTATGTATGTATGTATGTATGTATGTATGTATGTATATAAATATACACATATATACACATAGTTACACACATCTATATATATATATATATATATATGTATATATGGGGACATACGTAAGACATGTAGGATTGTGTACACAGGAGAAAGACAAGCTATAGAAACAGACGTACGTCGTCCAAGGCGCCTCGGAAGGCGCAAAATACCCCTCCAAGGCGCGGAATCATGTTCCCGGACCGCCTTCCGGGGACATGATGGGGACGACCTCCTGAGGGCCTCCAGTGGGCCTCTTGGGGGCCTCTCGGAGGCCTGTGGGGCTCTCCTGGAAACGTCTTGGGGCGCGCTCAGGGAAATGTTTGGGCATCTTGGGAGCCGCTTGGGGGCCTCCAGGGAGGCTATTGGGGGCCTCTTTGGGGCCTCTTGGGGCCTCGCGGGGCCCTCTTGGGGCCCGCTGGGCTCGCTTAGGCAGTTTTGAAGCCCTGTCGGGGCTCTCCTGGAACCGTTTTGGGCGGCTCCTGGGCCTTCTTGGGGCTCTCCTGGGCCGTCTTGGGACGATTTTTGGGGTCTCTTGGGCCGTCTTGGAGCGGTCTTGGGGGCCTGTTCGGCCGTCTTGGAGCGGTTTTGGGAGACTCTCGAACGCCCTATATATACACACATATATACACATACACACATATACACATACACATATATATATATATATATATATATATAAATGAACTACGTGGAAGGAAGTGGCACGACTCGGGAGGGCTTGGGGGAGGGGTACATATATATATATATATATATATATATATATATATATATACACATACATACATACATACATACATACATACATACATATATATATACATACATATATATATATATATATATGTATATATAAACATACGTAAGACATATAGGATTGTGTACACAGGAGAAAGACAATCTATGGACAAATACGTACGTCGTCCAAGGCGCCTCGGAAGGCGCCTCGGAAAGCGCAGAATACTCCTCCAAGGCGCGGAATCATGTTCCCGGACCGCCTTCCGGGAACATGACGGGGACGACCTCCTGAGGGCCTCCAGTGGGCCTCTTTTTATATATATATATATAGAGAGAGAGAGAGAGAGAAACATACGTAAGACATGTAGGATTGTGTACACAGGAGAAGGACAATCTATAGAAACATACGTACGTCGTCCAAGGCGCCTCGGAAGGCGCCTCGGAAAGCGCAGAATACTCCTCCAAGGCGCGGAATCATGTTCCCGGACCGCCTTCCGGGAACATGATGGGGACGACCTCCTGAGGGCCTCCAGTGGGCCTCTTGGGGGCCTCTCGGAGGCCTGTTGGGCTCTCCTGGAGGCGTCTTGGGGCGTATATATATATATGTATATATATATATATGTATATATATATATGGGGAAGAAATTGAAATACGTGGAAGGAAGTGGCACGACTCGGGAGGGCTTGGGGGAGGGGTATATATATACATATATATATATACATATATATATATATATATATATATAGAAACATACGTAAGACATGTAGGATTGTGTACACAGGAGATGGACAATCTATAGAAACATACGTACGTCGTCCAGGGCGCCTCGGAAGGCGCCTCGGAAAGCGCAGAATACTCCTCCAAGGCGCGGAATCATGTTCCCGGACCGCCTTCCGGGAACATGATGGGGACGACCTCCTGAGGGCCTCCAGTGGGCCTCTTGGGGGCCTCTCGGAGGCCTGTTGGGCTCTCCTGGAGGCGTCTTGGGGCGCGCTCAGGGCCATTTTTGGGCATCTTGGGGGCCTCTGGGGGCCTCCGGGGAGGCTCTTGGGGGCCTCTTTGGGGCCTCTTGGGGCCTCGCGGGGCCCTCTTGGGGACCGCTGGGCTCGCTTAGGCAGTCTTGAAGCCCTGTCGGGTCCTCCTCCTCCTGTCTCCTCCTCCTCCTCCTCCTCCTCCTCCTCCTCCTCCATCTCCTCCTCCTCCTCCTCCTCCTCCTCCTCCTCCTCCTCCTCCTCCTCCTCCTCCTCCTCCCTCCTTTTCCTACGCCTTTCTCCGACCTCCCTCTCTTTGGGGACTTCAAGAAGTACCAGTACTGGTACTCCCCAGACTTCGCCTGGGGTGCATTCCGACTAGAATTTCACGGTGAATCCAGCGGTGGCGACGCGGGCCTCCCAGGAGGCCCAGAAAAGGGAAAGCCAGAGAAGGGCAGTGGTATCGGTACTTTTTCCTCCTCCGACTCCCATCCCCCCCCCTCCTCCTCCGAGCTCGCTGCACGATCTGGCAACTCGAGAGAATCCCCCTTAGCTGTTACTGGAGCCACGAACCGCCCGCTCTAGAGGCATACCAAGACCTCGACCCTCGAACCCCAGCAATCTGAAGGGGACCAGCAACAAAAACTAGGCATTGGCCCCACACCTCGATCCTAACCAGCCTTGATCTCATCCTCATCCCTAAGATCGACAAGCCAACGGGCGATGGCAATCTTAGGGGTGCGCCCTCAGAGACTGAGGCACCCCCTAAGATCGGCATCGAGATGAGTCGATGCCAATCACATGGATAGGGATATGTTCCAGGCTGGTAAGATCCTCGAGCCTCGAGGAAGGGCGCAGGGCATCCTTGCCGAGGAAGCGGTCGCCGAGCTCCACCGCGCGCTGCCGAATCGACAGCTCCTTTGCCTCGTGGTTGGCCCGCTGGCCAGCCTCGGCGCTGTATGCTTAGGTCGGGCATGTCCTCCTACAGGCGGATTTAGGAAGGAACATAACAAATAGCCACAACATCTTCAACACTTGATAAACATAGTAAACCATCGTCAGCAGACTAATGTTTGACTAATTGTTGCTTGAATGTTCCTCCTGTCGAGGGACATGCCCGACTTAACTCTATGCTGCCGCCACCATCGGCGCCGTCATTGCGGTCGACAGGCGAGAAAAATGGTTTCGGCCGAGCGAGGAAATCCCAGCGGGCGGACGAAAATTGTTTGTCGCCGAGCTAGGAAGTTCGAAAGGGCGAATGCGTGAAGTAATTCAGGCGAGCGGGGTACTTTCTCTCGGCCAAACGAAATGGATTTCGGGAGAGCGAGGGAGCTTTCCCCGCCGAGCGAGGAACTATCCGAGCGCTCGGGTGGGACATTCCACGAGGAAACTTCCCGACACAACGGGGGGCTGGGAACTTTTGATGGCGCCCTGATCTCGTCGCTGCCGCCCAAAGCCGGACACCCACGAGAAACAGCGGGCCCTGTGGCAAACACAATCGTTTCTCCAGACCCCTCCCCTTGAAGCTTCCCTCTTCCGATGCACAGCGGAACTGAAAATAATAAATGCAGGACGAGTACCCCAGCGAATATCGGCCACCCCAGGTTTTCGGTTTCGGGCAGGAGCCGTCGGTCGTGGCGGCAACAACTCCAAATACAACCGATCACGTGATTACAAATATTGCGCGTGCTCAGGATGAGCGGTAAGGGTGCGGGCACTTTTGGCGCCAGAGATACACCGCATAATTTCCTGGGGATGCGCCGAGCAGGCCAGAACACCAGGGTACCGAACAGGCGGGGATGTAGGGGTCTTCCCTCCCTCCCATTCCTTCTCCCCCCCCTCGTCCTAGTTCTCTTCCTCCTCGTCGTCGCCGTCGTCGTCGTCGTCCTCCTCCTCCTCCTCCTCCTCTCCCTCCTCCTCCTCCTCTCCCTCATCCCTCCGCCCCTCCCTCCGTCCATCCTCCCCGTGGCTGCGATAGTACCCGCTGGAGGATCCACGCACCGCATGTCTGACGCGTTTTTCGAGACACACTGAGGTGAGCCGTTGCCCGAAGTGGGAAAACTCAAACCGAATGCGCCCACACGTGGTCTCCCGCGGTTTCCTCTCTCAAGGCGGCCTTTCTTCAATGAAATCACGCCCGCACACGGGCCGTTTTTTTGTTTTGTTTGTTTCTCTCTCTCTCTCTCTTTCTCTCTCGCTCTCTCTCTCTCTCTCTGTCTCGAACGCGCGCGCGAACAAATTGTGAGGGTATTTTTCCAAACGCGCGAAAGAATTCACTCCGGAAAAATAAATCTCGGCCAGCGAGGGTTTTAATGGACGGTCAGGTTGGGAAACTCCTGGGGGGAAGCCTCCCAGCATATCGAAAAAACTGGAAGCCTTTTGCCAGAGCCCTGATCTCGTCGCTGCAGCCGACAACCCGACACCCATCAGGAACAGCGGGCCTTATGAACGCTATCTTTTCTCAAACCCCCTCAAGCTGGGTGCGGAGGTTGGCAACCAATGAGTCGAACCTACCGTGGTGTCCATAGAGAGAACACGATTGGGGAAATAGAAAAAACCTTGTTCCCATGCGCCGTGGGCGAGCGGCGCGAGTCCCATCCCGTAGAGCTGTCCAAGACCTAAACCGAAACGATAGCAGGACAGATGGATAGGAAAGTGATATGAGCGAATTTCACACACGCGCCCCCCGCCCCGGATCCCGCCCGCTCCACGCGGGCCTCGGGCCCGAGGGATACAGAGGCGGGACTCGGGAACAAAAGTGCGAGGTCCACTCGGCTCACCCTTCCATCCCCTGCAGCCTCCAAGCGCGGCAAGGAGAGAAAGAAAATACCAACCACGTCGCATGGGGTATTTCGGGGAGTCTACCCGCCTTTAGCGGGCCCACGGCGCGCCCCTAAGGCGACCCCATCACCACAGGCGCTAGGGTTGGGAGAGTAAGAAATAGAAGAATGGACAATCCTGCGTCAAGTGCACTTCGGAAGTACAATAACGCAAGTTTTTCCACCGGCGCACAAAGTCATGTGCAGGTATGCGCGCCAGGCGCGTATCCAATTCAAATATCATGCGCGTCAAAATACGCGGGTGCGTAACGACCCGAATGGTTCGTTCAGACATGTATGCATGATCGAAGCTGTAACAACAACTGATCAAAATATTTAACATTGTAATGATTCGTTCACAAGGCACTCCAGGCACTGAGATATTATCTCGAGATATGTGGATGCGAAGCAAATCGATTAATACAAACAACATTCTGTACGTGATCAAAACTGTGTGAACAACTGATCAGACATGAAGATATCGTAATATGTTCAACCATGCGGGCGCTCCAGGCCCAAAAATACATGCGAAATATATCCAGCATCGCTCGAAGAAGGTAATTTAACTGACGCCGGCACAGGAATAATCCTGACGGCCTGACTGCGCGGCGGTTGCCGAGCGCGCGCAAAGTGTTGTAAAACACACCGCGAAACGTGCAAAATGGGGCTTCGAGGTTGCAGCCCAAAGCCCGCGAAATCCTGAAAGCATGGCTTGCGCAGAAAACCGCGCAAGTAGTGGGTCCGCGACGCATTTGAGGGCGCAGGCTGGCGATTAGGGCGTCACGGCTCCATGGCCGAACGGCTCCACGATATGAGGAGATTAAGTTCGATATTCGCGGCGGGCGACCTGCCTGGGTGCGTCTATGCCCACCAATCTACGAAAACATAGCACCTGCTTGTGACGTACTAATATAGATGTATAAATCCAGACATCAATCATTCGAATATCAACGTAAGCGTTGTATATGTCAACTCAATCAACGAAGCATCTTTTGGTCACAGTATGCGGGGTCCCAAGTAAGATTGCTCCGATTGTCAAATTGTCCAATCGTACGAGTAGCAACATTATGAACCCAGACAAATTCGCAATCGTTCTGATCGATATAGATCCAGTTGTTCAGGTAGTGCGACCAGTAGCGGCACGCGTTGTCGCGGTAGTGCTCGAAGTTGTAGCGCCGCCACCGCGCCCCTGGGAGCGCCCTGCAGATGCCGCACTCCGAGCACGCTTGCTGGTCATGCGCCGCGAGCCTCGCGGCAGGCGCAGCGGCGCAATCGCCCTCCGCTCCCCCGCCGCGATCGGCGCGGCAGCTGTTGCAGCCCCGCCACTCCAGGTCTGCGTCGCCAGGAGCAGGGCCGCCGGAAGACGCCTCGCCCGAGGGGGGCGGCGCCCGCGGCAGGCCCATCGCGGCGCGGCGGCGGGGAGGGGAGGGTGGCGGGGTAGAGCGGGGGCCGGTGACCGGAACAATCCCCTCGCGGAAGGTTTTGCCCCCCTTGGTGGTCGCAGCAGCGCGATGCCTCGCTCCGAGCTGCGCCAGAATCGCGCGGTCCTGGCCCGCCTCGCCGATCTGGGGAGCGCGCGCGCACATCTTGCAGATGTGCTCATCGAAATTGGCAAGGAGCTCGGTGCAAACTATTGCGTTCGTTTCAGTTTCGGGTGCTCCTGCCCGCGCCAGTGCCCCAATCCGCTCGCGGGCGTTCCCGCCGGCGCTCAACTCGCGATCGAGATCGCGGAGAGCCTGATCAGGGATCGCCTGAGCGTTAAAGGTGGCCAGATCGGCTGAAAGAGATTCGCGCCCCTCTTCGGTCATCTGATCGGGGAGATCGCCCGTTGCCATGTCTCCGCGAAGTTGGCGCGCTGAGGCGGTGCCCAGATGCTCGGCCATGACCTGCTCGGTCTGCTCCACGAAGGCCGTCTCCGAAGCAGCCCTCTCGCCCACCTGGGGTAGCGCATCGAGGTCCGCGCGAAGTGCATCAATGAACTGGTCCTGGGCGGGGGCGGCCGCGGAAGCGGAGCTTCCTGGGTCAGATTTGGGCCCTGGAGACTCAAAGGGCCTCGCGGCGTCGATTTCTGCAGATGGGCCCGGGAGATGACCGGCGTCGGCCGCGGAGATAGATGCGCCAGGTTGTCGCGCACGCGCGGGGCTGTCGCCCGGCCAATCCTGCCACGACGGGAACGTTGACTGAAGATGCCCCTTAGGTGACGCATCGGCCACAATCGAGTCGCCCCGCAACCATCGCGATGCAATGGGTCCCCGATGAATCAAGCCCTATGAGCCATGGTGCGAGAGATCTCTGACAACGCACGCGCGCAAACGGATGGAGGGACCAAGAGAGGGAGATCGAGGTCAAGCGACAGCATGCACAGGCCCGGCAGTCTCGGCCGTCTCCGTCGACTTTTCGGCCTGTGGGGTTTTGGCGGGCAAGCAGAGCGGCAGCTCCAGCAAGTCTGGCCAAATCCAATAACCAGCTCCACCACGTGAAGCCCGAACTCGTCGGCGTGGGCAATGACCATGATGTGGTTGTGGTCGACTACTTGCCGCCATTGGAGACGGAGGGTTCTCCGTGTCTTTGCAGCGCCGACACATGTATGGGCACGGATCAGCGCGCCCACCTTGCCGTGCGTGTCGCAGGCGTCCTGGCGCATGCGATGCGGCGAACGACTTGGGCGGCGGCATTCGTCCGAGGTCGTTGAAGTTGGACTCTGGGATCCGGTTGCGCACGGCAGCCCTATGCCATTGGCCCTGTGGGTCCTGCAATAAGTAGCCCAATGGTGGATCCCGCAGTTGTCGAAAGCCGTCGCCTTGAACCAGCCGCCCCACTGACAGTGCCGAAGGACAGTCGTCCATCGTGCTGAGCTGGGTAGCCCAATGTGTGGGGGCTGCAGTTGGACGCGCCCGTTGACGGCCCTGTCGCCGTTGGCTGTTTCCAATATATGCTCGCGTCCGATGTGAGCGTCGGAAGCTTCGCGCTGTGCGAGGTCGGCCTTGTCCTGGATGTGGTGTGCAGAGCCACTGTCGAAGATCCACGTCCGTGACGACGCTGCCGTTGACCGCGTCGGCGTGGTAGACTCGGTCGCGAGCTTCGCCGCCGACGGTGGGCTGTCGTCGGACGGTAGGGCTGGCGCCGTGG